ATATATGGTTTTGTTTGCCTTTTTTCTGTTTTGGCCACTTCAGGTAAAGCAGGGGATGCACTGACCGGTCTTGTTCTGGTAATACGTGATGTGTACAAGGACGTACTTCTAGCCCAGGCGGTGCTAAATGATGCTCTTGATGCCTCTGGGCGAGTATTGCTGGAGGAAGGAAAGGCTTTCAACATCACAAAGGTTAGTTTGGTTTGTTTAAAGGTTGTTGTTTTGTTAATGTTGTTATTGTTTAAGCGGGGGTGGGGGTTGTTTTATTTTGTTTTTGAAAGTGTTTTACGGCACTCGCAACTGCAAAAGGTCAGAAGAGCGCGTGGGACACATTAAACTTTTTCAGTTGGTAGGAAATATTGAGGATGCTCAAATACAGGATGCATAAGATCAAAGGGAGGATATATTTTAATGGACAACGGGGGTGTCTTAAACAGATGGTCAGAGTACATAGAAGAAATGTTCAAAGATAAAAGAGGAGGAAAACCGGTAATAAAGAATGAAATAAATGGACCAACAATACTGAAAGCAGAAGTACAAGCTGCCATTAAGCAAATGAAACAAGGAAAGGCCACAGGACCAGATAATATTCCAGTTGAAGTGATTGTCGCGCTTGAAAAACTAGGCACTGAAATAACAACAAAGCTCCTAAATGCTATTTATGACAGCGCGGTGAGATCCCAGAAGATATGACGAAGTCAGTTTTTATAGCTTTACATAAAACACCAGGTGCCACTGAGTGGATATGCATAGAACAATTAGCCTTATGAGTCATTTTACAAAAATACTGCTGCGAGTAATAATGGGAAGATTGAGAAAAAGTGTAAGACCAGAGATATCTAAAACACAATTCGGTTTTGTTCCTGACAAGGGCACCAGAAATGCTATATTCACCTTAACAATGTTAATGGAAAGATGTACTGAAGCACAGAAAGAGCTGTATTTATGTTTCATAGATTATTCAAAGGCGTTTGATAAAGTTAGACATGATGAGCTGTTTAAAATACTGGAAAAGCTAGACATAGATGGAAAAGGTCTAAGAATTATCAGAAATTTGAACTGGGACCAAAACGCTGCTGTACGAATTAATGGTGAATACAGTGAATATAAGAGGATCAGGCGAGGAGTGAAGCAAGGATGTATTATGTCACCAGACCTCTTTAACATGTACAGTGAAACAATCCTTAGAAACATAGAAGAATGC